CGCTAGAACTATCCAAGTTTAGTCTGGTCCGTTGATACATAAGGGTTGATTGACACTGACTTATTCTTCAGCTCCGACTTTGCGTGCGGGCACCATGAACAAGCGCAAAAAACAAACAACACTCGCCCCTGTCGGTGATTGGTTAGAACACGGTTTATTTTAATTTTGAGCTGGTGGTTGTGCCCCATTTTGTTTTTGTGTGCAGATCTCAGAGCTTAGGTTGCCTACAGAGACACGTTTTTTTTTTTTTTTACAGCCTGCTTATGGGGCGGGCAGCTAGCGAGATCGTTAGGAAGATTAGATGAATTTGATAATTTATTTTGGCCTGAAAACCGCTGATACAACTTTTAATGCAGTCAAGTGAATTGTCTTACCCTGGCTGGTTTTATTTTTTATTTTTAATTTGTATTTTAATTTTGTTTATTTTTGCATTTTACTTTTTTGACTCAAGTCGTAAATATTTTAACTCTTTTACTCTAGAGTTTAACTCTTAGCGTGAGACTCTCATTGAGTGCCTTTATCTTGCCTTTGAAGTCCTGTGTCCTTAATTGTGGCTCACAGTCCTGCAGTGTGACCGTTCTGGCAGCTGTCTAGTAAAGAATAAAGCCGACCACTTTTACCCAGCCACATCTGACTCCAGGCCAGGCTTTAGGCTTGCTGTCATTAGTGCAAGGTTTCTACAGTATTGTTTTCAGTTTTCACATGTAAATGAGGATGGCATAATAGCTGTGTTCTGCTGACTTAAAATGGTCAGTCTACACTGTCAGTCATGAAATTCCTATGATGTAGAGCTACTGTCTGGCATACAAGACTATTTGATGTTGGTCTGTATGCCTTCGCTTTTACCCAAGATGCCTCTTCATACAATCTAACAAGCAACAGTGAAGAACTACTGAGAAAAGTAAATGCTGTACACCAGCTTTATACAAAAAACAAAAAAACAAAAAAAAAAAAAAAACTATAAACATCAAATGGAGAGCCATGGTCATTATTTCTGTTTTATTCTGTAGTTATTTTTATTACCTCTTGTCATCCGCTGCTGCTGAGTGGGTAGTAATGCCATATATTAAGCATTAAATCACATAACCATTTAAAAAAAAAAAACAAACAAAAAAAAAACAACTAACTATGTGTGTATAGTGTGAAACAAGAATATAAGTATTAATAATATAATAATAAGCTTTAGCATTTTACTGTATCACAGCAAAATTCATAATGTAACAGGACCGTTAGCTATTCTTTAGCTTTAATGGTGACCTTGACACTTGATGAGGCAAATGTGATTTCTTTTTTTTTCACTGACACACTTAATTGGGAATGAGGATCTAAACATGATTTCTCTGTTAACTTTTTCTTTTAATATCGATGTGTGACATTTGCAGCCACGTCTTGGCAAATTGAGACCGGTGGTATTATTAAGCATTGTAATTTTAAAATCACAATGAAAGTTGGAAAGGGATTAATACAAGAGGAAATAATCCTCAGGAAACCGCACAAGTTCAAATGTGATTTGTTTTCATTTCCAAGAAACCAAACTTCAAAATAATTCCTCATCCATGGCAAATTCACAGTTGAGCACACTCAAGCTTTCAAGTGTTGCGGTTCTCTCAATATTTACAGAATCCGCTTCTTTTCTACTAGCTAAGATCCACCTGTAGTTTTATTTGCAGCACCCACATTTCCAGTCATGCTTCAGTGGGTTTGCAATCTGAGCCTGTACGGATAAGTAATGGCTAAGACTGTGCGAATATAAGAGTAAATGCAGAAATAATGAAAAAAATGCAGCCGAAAGCTCCCAGCAAATGTACATGCCCCAGAAAACATGCAGGCCGTGTCTGTGGACATTGAGCTCTATGGCCCAGTCTGAAGGTGATCACTTCTGACAGTGCAGAGAAGCCTATCTGGTCAGAAATATACAGTGTTTCATGTTCTGCTTCAGATGCTTTCTCCTTGTGCTTGTCAGATTTCTCGGGGGGAGGAAAGGCAGAAATAAGTTTGTGACCTTAAAAGGTTCATCTAATATCCTTGCCGTTAACTGCACTGGAGCTTGAAATTAATGTTGGATTTTTGTTTCAAGAGCATCAGCAAAGTTACCTTTCCAGGGAAAAAGCAAGTTGTCCACCCTGAAGCAGTTGGTAATACCTAACACACGTCATAATGTGATGAATAACCTCCGACACCGAAGGCAACTATTGGCAGTGTTTTTATATGAAGACAGGCTTTAAGTAGCCTGGGTTTTCCCATGCTGCCTTGCCGCAGCACGATTTTATTCGCGCTGCTAGGCAGCCTGGACGCATGAACCAAATTTCGCCTGAGATAGGGAACCAATCACAGAATGGGGAGGGAGCAGCTAGACGATGACAACGTATATGTGACACACCGAAGCAGTTTGTTTATATCTATGGGGATCCGTCTTGACAGCGGACGCGAAGTTACCTTTTGATACAGCCTAATGTTTGACATTAAACATATCGCTCTGATTTGCAGAGGGGGGATTTAAAGCTGTTCCCTTTACTGGTGATTCACTTTTTTTAATTTTTAACTTCATATAACTTTAGCCTTTTTTGTTGATCACATATTTTACCATTTCATGTGTTTTAACATCTAGATTGTGTTGCTATGGACGCAGAAGTTCACTCTGGTAATATAATAGTTTTTAAATTGATAAACTCCTTTTTTTAAATCAATAATTTGTGTCAAATTATTGATTTATTTGGTAGGTAGCCATGTTATAAGTGGGAAAATGTATAGCGAGGTGGTTGTTACAGCGAATACAACCCCTCCGGGCTAATTTAAGACCCCTCCGCTTCGCGTTAGAGTTTGTGGGGTTGTATTCGCTGTAACAACCATCTCGCTTTACATTATCCCTTACTTTTATTTATTTATTTATTTATTTTCTATGTGGGCTGACAAGACAAAGTAAGGACTGTCAAGTGTGTTTAAACAGTGCGGTACAGCAACCAAACCAGTAGCAACCATTTTTGCAGCGCCAAAAGCGGACCTTTCACTGATGTAATGGCGTGCACTTGCTAGCCTGTTGCATTTGTGTTCTCTGAATGCTAAAGAGGAACCTCTTCTAGCCTCTGAAGGAAATCATTTGGAAGGACCCGTCCCGCCAAGGAAGTATCCTTGACATTGAGAAACACGTTTTGTGTATACATAAATCTCCTAAATCTCTGACCCATCGTTGTCTTCATAGTCTAATTTTCGTTCTACATACTCCATCTGGTATCATTGAACCGATTGGCTATGAGCTACATACAGACTCATTTGATAGACATTCGTAGCACCCTATAATACAGCTCTGGGCATTTGTAAACCACGCCTCAAATACGAGAAAATGATGTGGTTTCCAGACCACGTCTTATTCTCAATGACACATGGTCTGCCGCTAGCAAGGCTAGCTTTAAAGAATGCCACTACTAAAATCATAAGAAAATCAAGAGAGCTTTAGAAACAACCTAGCAAATCATCACTATGATGCTTATTTCTTGGTAAAAATGGAGCGATAAATGGGATATTTATAAATTAAACCAATCTTGAAGTGCATATGTAACCTTTCTGCATCTGTATACTCAGCATTTTTCAACCATGCGCTGATTCACCTGGAGCGTGATGACTTGACCCGCAAAACATTGAAACATTTTATTAGTTACTCATATCAAGATGCATCCTAACAGCCTATTACAGCGGCCATGTTCACCAGCTCACTAATTGGCTGTTATCTTGAGTTCAGCATTGCTTTTGGCCTCATGGCTCATTTGTGGAAATTGCACTGGAAATGTTTTTTTCTTTTCTTTTTGTGCTTGGTCTCAATGCACTTTATGGAGTACAAATTGGTGATCATAAAACATTCCTTGAGAGAGTTGCTGCATACAGAATAGAGCCGCAAAGCAATTAGACATTATGGTGTTTAGTTCAAACCTACAAAGTTATGTGCCTTACTAATGCTTAGGTTAAAATTGGATCTGTTTGATTTGTGGATTTTAATTGTAGGTATTTGTGGTCTGAGCTGAAGCAATTTTAAAGTGCTTTAAATAATCTGATCAGAGAATATTACAATCTTCATATAGATCTTTATATGTTAGCCTGTTTATACACTGCTGTTCAGAAGTTTGGGTCAGGGTTTTTTTTTTTTTTTTTTTTTCTTTTGATGAATTAGTTTATTCAGGTAAGACACAATAAATTGATCCTAAGTGAAATACATGTATATGGTTACATAATATTTGTTGAGTAATGTCTGTTTGTCAAATAATCTTGAAAGAAATGTTTCTAGAAAAATACTAAGCAGCACAACTGTGTTCAACTTTTGTAATATTAAGAAATATTTCTTAATCACAAAATCAGCATCTTAGAATGATTTCTGAAGAATCATGTGACGGAAAAATGGAGTAATGGCTACTGAAAATGTCATTTTATATGACCATATTTTTATAGTTTTTTTTTTTTTTTAATATATCAAATAGAAAAGGATTATTTTAAGTTATTATACTGTTTTACTGCAATTCTTTATCAAATAAATATAGCTTTGGTTAGCACAAGAAGCTTCTGCCAGAATTGTACCCTAATCTATGTGTGAAAAAATTCTTACCCACCAAAATCTTTTTAATGGTATACATCTTCAACAACTCCATCTGTGTGGTCTCATGTCTCTTGTGCATTACTCTCTCTTTTCTTTCTACTGTTCACTGTTGCACACACTTAGCCAGAGCAGTTTGTTGATGAGCTCAGCAGATGTTGCGTTCAGGGTCCAGGGAATCAGTGGCAGCAGAAATGGTGAGCACTAAACTGTTAGCTATGGATGGGGTTTGGCTCTCTGCCCCACTGCATTCCCTTGATAAACCTTTGAGATGAGACAGATAGAGGGGAAAAGCCTTCTGACTCATGCCTTTGGCTTGGAAATGCAACAAAGTAAAACTCCTCTTTTTTGGGGGGGTATAAATGAGTCACAAACACACTCCTGCATTACTACATAAACCTCTCCACCACTGAAAATCTCTCATTTGGTTCTCTCTCAAGATGAAGAATCAGAGGAAAAACACAATCTGAACAATAAAATCATCATGTCAGCTACCACTTGCATTTTACTTCATATTAGAACAACTTGCAATCTGTCACCAAATGAAACAGGCAAGGATGTCATTAAGTGGGCGAGTGTGCGATGAAAAGATAGCTTGTATGAAGCAGAGAGAGAAACCTGGTCTGATTACCATTGGAATTCCCCTAGTAACTTTGAGTCCAATTTGATGTACAGCAGCAAAGTCTGGGATCCAGAATGCCAGCCTTGTGTAAATGCCAATCAAGATGCATTCAGTATGATGAGGCCTGAGAGAGCCAGAGAGTGTGGATATTAGTCCGATGGGCAGTGTATTTATAAGAGTGTAAATGAGGTGGTGAGGGATGAATGTGACGTCAGTTCAGTGGGTCTTGGGTTATATCTTTTTTTTTTCTTTTTTGCAACCTTTTTAGCTTGGAAATCCAGACCCAAATCCGAAAGATTAAGGGTCTGGCATTGAGTAATGAATAGCTCTCCTTCATAGTAGTGATGTCTGTTTTTGTTTGTTTGGTAGCTTTGTTTTTCCTCAATATGCTGTGCGTTTAACTTCACACTAATGCAAATGAATATTGCTTGCATCAGATGGACCTTATTATGTAACTTTAAGTTTGTTTACATTTTAATTAGTGTTCACATCCTCTTCTTCGCAGGTAATTCCCAGATGGGAGCCACTATAGTTGACGCCCTGGATACCCTTTACATAATGGGCCTCCACAACGAGTTTAAGGACGGCCAGGAGTGGATCGAGCAAAACCTGGATTTCAGTGTGGTAAGTGGCCAAGACTTGGACATGAACACGCAACCAAGATCACCAACAGCACTGGTCTTTGTAGGTTTGGGATAAAGCAAATCTGTTTTTGTTTATAGACAGTGATATCTCAGGACACTATTATTTCACAGTGGTGAGCCGTATACTTTGGCAGCAGACTGACACAGCTGTATTAACAAGCGTTCGACACCCCATAACTCCTCAAAGACTTCAGTCCTCAGTGTGTGTGAATCTTTCAGGTTTTGATCAGATTTTGGTGGCACTTTGTGGAAAACGTGTGGCGAGAAAAGAGTTGATGTGACACATCACTGTATCCAGGAGACAAGACTGGCGCCATGGAAACAATGCGAGCCTCCAGAGCTCTGCCTCCAGAATTAGATGGTGATGTTGAGAAAAAAAAATGGCAGACAAAAGAGACGTCAGAGAAGGAGCGGGGCCAGTGACTGGCCCCAGGGGCCCTGTGTCTCCTGCTCTCTCTCTCTCTCTCTCTCTCTCTCTCTCTCTCTCTCTTTCTCTGTCTGCATTCACATTCTAATGGGATTTCTCCAGTTTCTTTCCCTATCAGTTGTTTTTCCAGCCTGTTCTTCATCAGATATGAAGAATCTGTATGCTCTTCTCAACTTTATCAATCTCTCTGGTCTCTTTGTGTTGTGTCATTTTTCTCCCGTCTATCTCTTAGCAGGACTTACAGGGCATGAAATCTCCTCGGGGTGTTTAGTTCATCTTTTTGGCTTTTCGAGCAGTGGCCTCATTTCTTCTCTCTCCCCTCCTCACTGTTACTTTTGGATAAGTGTATCTTATGAAGCATGTGCACTTTGAGGAATGACTCACGCTTGGACCGTTGGGTCTGGCCGTTGGGGCTCGGCGTGTCACAGTGGGATGGAGGTGCTGGAAGGATTTTTTTTTTTTGGAGGAGAATAAACTGCAAACCATGGCGAGGAAGGAAAACATAAGGACATATTAGTTCTACAAAAATATTAAGCAGTAAAACCATTTTCATCATTGATAGTAGTATTTAAATGTTTCTTGAGCAGCAAATCAGCATATTATAATGATTTTTGAAGGATCTTTTGACAATTAGTAAGGATGCTGAAAATTCACCTTTTTCAATTACATTTTAAAATATCTTAACATAGAGAACAATTTTAAAATTTTATTTTAAAAATATTTCAAAATAGCATATTTTTACTAAAATTATTGTAAAATGTTTAAAGTGTTGTCCATTTTATAATTACATGAATAGAGAATATTTTCTCACCCTGATGTCATTCTAGAATCTAGATGATTTCAGTGGTTTTTGTATATCAATGAAAAATCATACAATGATTGGACCCCATTGAATTTCATTATATGTACATAAAAAATAATAAAAAAAATCTTCTTTTGTGAATAAAGAAATGCATGCTCTCTCTCTCTCTCTCTCTCTCTCTCTCTCTCTCTCTCTCTCTCTCTCTCTCTCTCTCTCTCTCTCTCTCTCTCTCTCTCTCCACTGTTCTCTGCTTCTCTTGTGGTGATGGATGAGGCTGTCTGCCATCAGCATTAATTGCAGCTGTTAAACCTAAAACTGAATTAATGGACCTTGGTCAGGGAACGGTCATATCTGAATAAATCTGGCGCACGTTCACTTTTGTCAAAATTAATAGACATGCTAAATGAATGCTAAGTGAAAGGGTTGGTTAAAGCATGTTCTTGTCTTATCAAATTAGTGTAAAACCTAGTCAATATAAGATGCTTCTGAAGCGTTATGTTACGAACTAGAAAACCTGCTTGTATTTCATAAGCAGTATACAAAAACAGGTGCTGGTGGATTATGATATTTTGAGATGGCTAAAACAGAAGTTTGTGGGAGTTTGTACAACCATGCCATTGAACCTCACTGTGTTTTTTTTTTTTTTCTTCATTGGGTGAATGTTATTTTGTTATGCTAGACATAGTGTTTGTGTGTGTGTGTTATGAGTGAGAAAGCAGTTTCTGTTTCCAATCTTTGTATGAATGAAAAAAGCTTGATGGTAATTTTCTCCAAATATAGGCTGAAATGCTATATGCTCCAGCATTCATTTCCATCTCACTGAGAGATTATTGAATCCGCTTTAATGTAGAATGGAAGTTCATTTGATAGCGCTGCATGGCTGTTGTGTATAGTAGATAATTCATGCAGATTAATGAAGCTGCTTAAATGTTTGTTTAAATTATCATGTATAGTAGGTGGCTTCTGGAAGTAAAAATCACATCTATTTTCTCCAGAAAGATTGTTTTTATAAATACTAGCAAATTCTTATCTCAAACTGATTATATATTTGAATACTTTGCACTATTGTTGCACAAATATATTGTATTTTATACCTAGATTAGTTCAGATGTTTGGAATCCGTACTTTAGTTTTATAATTTAATTTTATTCAACAAGGAGGAGGCATTCAGTTGATCAAAAGTGACAGTTAAGTCATAAATGATGTTACAAAATATTTATACTTCAAATAAATACTGTTCTTTTCAATGTACTATTTATCAAAGAATCCGGGAAAAAGTCACGTTTCTACAAAAATATTAAGCAGCATAACTGTTTTCAACATTGATAAGACAATTTTTATGAGGACCATATTATGATGCTGAAAAATCAGCTTTGCCATCACATCAATTCATTACATTTTAAAATATATTCAAATAGAGACTTTCAAAACGATAAAATCTTACTGACATCAAACTTTCAAATGGTAGCATAATTTTATTTTAAGATTTAGTTTTATATTGTACTGATGTCAATAGTTTTTAATTGTCATTGTTTTATTTTATATAATTTGATAATTTGCATTGGTTCATAAGTGTGCCTTATTAAAGATAAGTAAAATATGCAGTCATTTTGAATTTTTATATTGTTATAATTTCCCCGAAATTCTAGTTATAATTCAATGAATTATTTCTGAGCTGGTTGGTTTCATTTAGTCTCTTTATCGAATATTTCTTTGAAATACTTATGGGAAAAATACTTTGTGATTCAAGGACCCTGAAAAAGTGGGCAATCGCTATGTTGCCCTAACTCCCTCTTATTTTCCCCTCTGTTTCTACAGAATGCGGAAGTCTCTGTCTTTGAAGTCAACATCCGCTTCATTGGTGGGCTTCTGGCTGCATACTACCTCTCCGGACAGGAGGTACATTGTCACTTCTTATTGATTTTTTTGGTGTTTCTTCTCTGTGCTGTTCCGTTCTGTAGTTATATTGTATGATGGAAGTGTATACAGGCCTCCACATAGATGAAGTTCTGGACAGAGAGTTCATCTAAGGGCAATGTTGTTGGATCAGAGAACTATGAACAGCTTTTTCAGGGGAAATAAATGTCCCTCTCTCAAGCCCATGTTAATTAACGCTTCCCTTCTGTCTTATCTGCCCATGGATATTAATGGAGAAGAGCACAAATACTCTCTCTCTTTCCCCCCTCACTGAGTAGCATATCTCTGCCACTGCATATCACAATGTTCTCCTCATTTTAGTCTGAAGGTGAAAATTCAAAGGAATTAAACTGCAGCCATGCGGCACGACCTCGCTGCCACTCCACACACTTCATTAGATGAGTTTAGATACTGGACGTGAAACTCGCCACACTTGCATACAAAGTCTTTATGCTGGTCTGTCCCCTGCCTGCCTCTCTGTCCCCAGTGACCTTTTGTTCTGTCAGTACAGTGTTTTGGACATGCCTGGGTGACAGGCATCAGTTTCAGCGACAGAGCTGTCCGTTGAAGATGACGTGATAGTATGTCCCAAAGCTTGCCTACTCTTTTACTACACACTCAAAAGTATGTACTTTTTCCTCACAAAAAGAGTACATACTTTTAGGGTGTAGTATAAGTAAGCGAATTGGGACGCAGCATATGTCTCCCTTATTTAACACACCTGATTCAGATCCTCAGCTCGTAGACTCTATGAACTGAACTGAGTGTGTCAGATAAGAGAGACATACAAAATATGCAGAGCAGTGGGTCCCGAGGACTGGAGTTGGGAACCCCTGGTCTAGAACTACCTTTTTTTCCCCTTACATTTCTTACAGTAGTTTTTGAGTCACTTTTTCGTAAATATACTCTTTTGGTAGATCTTCAGCATTATTCATTGCTTTTGAATGCGATGACCATTCAAAAGCCCTGAGTGCCAATCAGCAAAGATGGCTGATTTAAAATGGTTTTCTTTCAGGGGATCATGCAACAGCCAAGAAGTTAACTTTGAGATTTATTGGAGGGCTAATGCTAATGTAAGGCTGTCAAATTCGATCCAATGACGGTATTAGATTAGAGGTGAAAGTCTCAAGTGGATTTTTAATTAAATGCAATACATCTTATCTTAAGTATTAACTCGTTATTTCATCTGACTCCATAAATGAAAAGGTTTTTCAGTGATATCTGTGCATCAATAAATATATCATTAAATATATAATGTTTGATTATTCCTTTTAACTCTAATGAAAATAAAGTCAAAGTCTGTTAGAATAATCAAATATAACAATTTATTATGTCAGGAAAATGTATTATTGCAATTTCATAATCAATTGAATGATAATCAATGCAAACCATCAAATATTCTACAACTAAGAGGAAAATCTTTACTCGACAATTATGAACTCGACATTCACGGGCTGATCTGAGATGCAGAAAAGGCCCTGATCTCTAGTTGCATTTCATTATATAGCCAGACCTCATTTCATATGTAAACATGAGTTTACAGTGGAAATTTACTGTGTTCACCTCCAAAGCTTACTAGGGGTAGAATTTGACCATTTGCTAACAGTGGTAATTTGCATTCAGGTATTTACACCTTTTGGAAGTAGGACCATGCCCAGAGACCACATGTGTGCCGGTTATCCCTAAACTCTTAAAAACCTTATTACCTTTTGTTTTACTTCTTTGGAAATAGGACTCTAGTACCAGTCGCACTTGTAGACATTTCAAATAATACGAAACACATGTATAAAAGTGTATGATAGTTGTTCAAATTAAAGCCATATAGATTCTTATGTGACTTTGGGTGATCTCTGCAAGAGTGGGGGATGATCTGGCAAGGACCTTCATCTCATAGACCAGTGGTCTATCTCTTCAACCAGATTCCAGTCTTACACTAACTTTCTCTAAGTATTATTCTCTAGAACTTCTTGGTGCAGGCAGAGTGTCTATATAAGTCCTTTTTGTGGTGTAGGCAGCAGCAGATGCCAGCCAGAGACTGTAGGCAGTGTGTCGTAAACTGAAAAAGCATGCCTCTCTAATAAGAGATTTTTGATCAGACATGATGGAGAAGGCCGCTGAGAGTAGAGAGAATGAAAGAGAGTCTGGAGTAAAGAGAGTTGTGTCCTGGACCGATGTCCAGCAGGTGTTTCTCAAGAAGAGAATTTGATCTAAAGAAATGAGGACTCTGTACTTTATCAGCTCTGTAAGTTATCTCTCTTGTGACCACATTCTCTCTCTCTCTCTCTCTCTCTCTCTCTCTCTCTCTCTCTCTCTCTCTCTCTCTCTCTCTCTCTCTCTCTCTCTCAATCTCTCTCTCTCTCTCTCAATCTCTATCTCTCTCGCCTGTCAGCTGGCTCTAGCAGAACCCCTATGCAGTGATGGATGATGTTTACTCTGCTTTCCCTCTGTCCTCTCTTCCACTGTCTTTTGATCCCCTTGTTTTTTTCTTTTATCGTTTTCTTTCATCTCTTTCTCAGTCCCTCTCCCATGTTCATCAGCTCCTCTCACCCCTGCATCTCTTGGTGTTATTTCATGATGGCAGAGAAGCCATCAACCCAGCAATCATCACAAATTCATGTATTATTGTCCTGAAATACTTCTGTGAAAGGTACTATATAAATAAATTGTACTTACTTACATGACTCTTTTGCAAAACATACATATGCATACAATTCACTGCAATTTCCAGCTGAAATGAATACTAGAGGCAGTAAAACAACTCAAATAATTTTTTTTAACAAAAATTACACCTACTATTCTCTTTTACACGTTTCACTTTGGACATTTCAGCTGCCTTGAAATGTTTTGCAAGCAATGCAATATTTTGCAAAAATGTTCCCACACGCTGTTTAATAAACCCGCATCTGCAATGAAGAAAAAAATATAATATATTATATTATCGCAGTGTGCTTTTCTCTTATTTTTTTGGGCAATGTTTTTTTTTTTATTAGATTTTTTATTTATTTATTATACACTTATGTCTTTAAAGGGTCTTCAGTACAGAATGTTTATGTAGTTCTAAAGCACTGTTACCTAATAATAATTTTTACAAGTAATTTTTATTTTTATATTTCACTATTGTTTTATTTTACTTTTATTTATTACATTGTATAGTTTAACTCAAGGCATTTGATATATGACGTTGGATGTGAAGACCAGAAAGAAGCAGTTCTTCTTTTATGGTCATAAAAAGTGACTGGCTCAATAACGTTTTTCAATAACTATTTCTAAATGCTTCCTGGAATATGTATTTTTATAGATCTGTTTTCCTACTGTGGTTAAGACCCTCATAACATTTTCCAGGTAACTCACCGGCAAGCCAGCAATTTTGTAGACTTATTTCAGGTCTCATGTTTAACAGTAATTTTCTAGTGGATCTAGACAGCGTGTTGTTCATTCTTATCTTTAAAAGACAAATGCAGATTTTTGTGCAAAAATCAAATATATTTTTTTCACCTTTTGCTCCTGCAGATACATTTTGGCAGTCTTTTCTGAGATGGTTCAATTAAAGTGTGTTTGACAGCCCAATTTCTGTACTAAATCAGTAGGTTTCTTTAAACACAATGCTGACGGATGTTTTCTATCTTTGCATTTCTTTAAGCCAAATAGGATCATAGGCTGTAAGTGAAGAACACAGGCAAATATTGGGTGTTTGTCTTGATTTGCACATATATTACAGCAAAGATGGTGTGAGGAAATGTTGTTTTCTCCAGGCATTATGCACCAGTTATCTTTCTTTCTCCCTCTCACCCTCCCCATTACTCTATGTTGATGTGCTGTCCTGTGGTTGTATATCCTTCACAGTGGTGGTGGAGAATATGCAGTGTCACATTAGGGAGCAGCAGACTCTTCTGTTGTCAAACAAAGATCTCATCAAAGGCAGAACACAACCGCAGCCCCAGGCCCAGCAGAGGCAAGATAAGGACAGAGATTTAAGAAGGGAATTTGATGGATGAGAAGATGTTTGTCAACTACTTGTCTGCGTGTTTGATGTGCTGCATGCCATGACTTTGGTCATACCATCACCTATAAAATCTCCTCTTGGAATACAAATAAGTGAGCCTTCTAGACTAGCATTTCCTTATAAACATATCTGGTTTTCTAGGAGCCTCTGGTTTGCAGCTGTATTGCTTGGTCTGTAGGTGAGAATGTGTCCAAAAACGCTCTGGAAACTGCCTGAAAGTTAACATAATTGAGTGCCTAACAAGTGGTTATATAAAGATTTGTTTGGCTTTGTACATCTAGACCACCGGTGTTGGTGTTTATTTTGACATCCCAGCGGCGTTTTTGTTTGCTACACTCATCGATGTGAAATGAGACGCATCGTATGCTGTGCCAGCTGAGAACTGACACGAAATAATTGGTCAATCTCTCAAAAAGTGTGCTGGTGTAAAACCAAAATGGTTTTACATTGTGTTTTTGGAAAAGTGTAAGGAATAGTTCACTTAAAAGTAAATTTTGTCACCCTCAAGTTGTTTCAAACCTGTATGAATTTATTTCTTCTGCTGAACACAAAGGAATATATTTTGAAGAATGTTGACTCTGTAACCAGACAATAGGCTTCCATAGTAGAAAAAAAATACACTCTGGAGGTCAATGGGGTTCATCAACTGTTTGGTTACCGACATTCTTCAAAATATCTTCTTTTGTGTTCAGCAGAAGAAAGAAACTTATACAGGTTTGATACAACTTGATGGTCAGTAAATGATGACAAAATAGTAATTTTTAAGTGAACTTGTACTTAAACATTTTCCTGTTACCTGTCATGTTTAAGTTATTTAATTGTATCATGGTGAGAATAATTATGTTGGTTTAGAAATTCATCAATCAAAATTCTATTTCTCACAATAAGTCTTATGCAAATCACCATTGAGAATAATGGAAATGTAAAAAAAAAAGTACCATACCAATACCAAAAGTAAAATACCAATACATTATATGCAATTTTACTTTACAAATGTACACAATTTGAAGCTCATAAATTGTAGTGAGAAGACTTTTTTACTAGAAGGCTTAAATAATAGTATGCTTAAATAACGGGAAAAAAAACCCTAAATACTTTATAGACAAAGATATAATTCATTATCTTTTTTGTATTTGGGTGAAATGTGAGATTCATTCAATTGACGCAACAAATCCAGCTGTGTAAACATTAAATTTGTGATTAATGAGTAACAATCTTCTGAAAGCGGCATCATAATGTAGTTCAATCAAGGATATCTTGTGCATTCTGGATGTTTTTCTGTGTAGACTCTGTTGTGTATCTCTTACATTTGTCTCTTCTATAGCCATGCAGTTTATTTATAAACCTGGAGGAATCATTTTAAATAAAGGCAGAAAATGTGTTTGAAATGTAAATGTAGAAATGTACTGTCACTATTTGCTTTGAGAAGCTTTTGACTTAATGTGCATTACCATTCTCACTGACAACTGCCTAATTTCTTCATTAGACAACGTCTCCGGTGCTGTGATGTTGATGCTCTGATTGGCTGTGCTTGCGTCAGATTGGTGGTGTTTGTGTCTGCCTTGATTGGCAGCTCCCAATAGTGCTGCGATGACGACAGATAGAATATACACCAGGCAGAAGGTTTTTCATAAAAGGCTACAGATGCACAAACACACTGAGACCCAGAGCAAGAGTGAGGGCAGAAATTTCAGCTTTAACCCTGAACCCCTGGGGAATCCACTGTACAAACACTCATTCCCTCCATTTCCAATGTGTTTCCCATAATCTCTTTATATGCTTCCGTTAGACGTTTAAGGAACATCTCAGGCTGAGGGTACCATAGTGTATTTATTTGTGTGTGTGTTTGTGTACAGAGAGCAGAAGCAGTAACGTGGGGAATGTCCATGCTAATATCCTCATATGTGTAATAACAGGATCATCTCTGGCGCTTATGATCTGCATCAACCAGATTAGGCTTCAGCTTTGGAATCTGCATTCTGGGAATTATACACTCGCACACACACAAACACACACACACACACACACACACACACACCGCTCCAACTAGTAATCTTGAGGGAAGCGCTCATTCAGCCTAAATTAGCTTCTCTGTCTTACTCTCTGCCTGTGTCTCACATTTCTCACAGTTCCTCTACTCTCTCACCATTTTCTCCATCCGAGGGACCATTTGCACCTGCTTTGTTCAGCATACAAGACTTATTTTTAAATCATAAAAAATCTAGGTGCAAATAATGTTTTTTTTTTTGTTTTTTTTTTTTCCCCAGGCTTGTTTTTCTCAAAAATATCTTTATTTGACCGGTTTTCTTTAGTAAACAAAACCACACTGTGGTATTTTTTTCATCTTGCTTGCTTGTGTGTGTGGACTGCTGCAGGATAACACAACTTCACAAAAATCGATGAGCATATGTCCTAACATTAGGAAGCATGCCATGTTTCGTGAGGATCGGATCATAGGTGGCGCTATAATCGTTAAATACATTTAGCCTATTTATTATTCAGAATGGAACAGTTGGAAAGAAATGTTTACAGGAACATTTCAGCAGGCTCAAGATAATTAATACAGAGATCATTATTCATTGTTTTAATCAATTGGCATCCATAAAACGTAGTGTTCGGCATTCTCATGTATGGACGTGCGATGAACACTAACCAGAAACTTCCGGTATGTAAAGGCTCAGTTTGGGCGCCTACAAAACGGTACAAAAACAGCTGCGGACAAGGACTACTTGTATTTACTGTCTGCTGAGGTCCGCTCAGTGAACGCGTTCCACACATGCGCGGTAGATTGGCTGGGACAGTAGCAAAGACATGTTTTTTTCAAGCTTTTTTCTTTGCCTTGACCATAGACTGCAAAACATAGGCCTTGACAAACTGGTCCCTAATATATTTGTACTTCTGCCGACACATACTTTGCCTAAACTCTCGCTAATTTCCCTCCTGGAATTATTGCACATCTGGCTGTTTATGATCCTTTAATGATGGGTTGTCGAGGTGCGGGTAGTGACGGACTTCTTCGCACAGCCTCTCTTCGAAATCGACGTCTATTTTTTACCCCCCGCGCTTTCGCGGTTTTAATCTAGTAGTGGCCGCGCGTACTTTGACCGCGCGGTCACAAAATATGGGAGGCACACGGACGTCCGCAAGGAACCTCCTGACAGACCCTCCGATGACGATTTTTACGTCACGCGGACCGCGGACGCAAGACCATTTCACAAGATGTAAACAACACTGGTCCAGAAACACTTCCTGTTTCAGTTTGTAACTGTTTTCTTTATTTCACATGTAAAGAAAACATCTTAAAGGTGTTTGTTTAACTTTTTGAATCAGTATTAAATGTTCTGTTGGTTGTATTTTATCCCAGCTTTTATATTGTGTTAAAAAACTGAAACAGGAAGTGCTTCTGGACCAGTATTGTTTACATCTTGTGAAATGGTCTGTAGTTGTGCAAGTAGTCCAGACCATAGATATCTATGGTCCAGACCATGAGCGGGCTAGCTAGCAGCTCATTGGTTCGCTCAGGGAGAACTGCTACAGCCTATGGGAGAACTCGGCTGAACTCGCGGCCAATGAGAAGCCGAGACGCTCTCATTGCGTCAAAGCCCGCCAAAAAGGGCGTGGCTCGAGTGTATAAATATGCGAGATCTCCCGCTGTGTTTAACTGATTTATCATCTCTTCACTTCAGCGAAACTACACCCATTTGCTGTCTTGAGAAGAAGTCGAGAAGGCATCTCTGACGACCATCTGGAATCTGAGGAAGCCGGCCGTCTTTGCCACCTTCAGCCGTCCTGCAAGCTGGGGTCATCCTTTTCCCGGCATACTCTGCATCTAAAAGAGCGCGAGCGTCTTTTTCAAGATGCCTCGCATTTCCTGCGGTTCTTGCCGGAACATCTGGAGTCTGAGGAAGCCGGCCACCTTCAGCCGTCCTGCAAGCTAGCGCCATCCTAAGACTGTATGCTTTTTCCTGGCATACTGTGCAACTAAAAGAGCGCGAGCGTCTTTTTCAAGATGCCTCGCATTTCCTGCGGTTCTTGACGGAGCATCTGGATTCTGAGGAAGCCTGCCGTCTTCGCCACCTTCAGCCGTCCAGCAATCTGGGGTCATCCTTTTCCTGGCATACTCTGCATCTAAAAGAGCGCGAGCGTCTTTTTCAAGATGCCTCGTATTTCCTGCGGTTCTTGCCGGAGCATCTGGAGTCTGAGGAAGCCGGCCACCTTCAGCCGTCCTGCAAGCTAGCGCCAGCCGACGACAGTATCATATCCTTTGCTTACTCTATATCTAAAAGAGCGCGAGCGTCTTTTTCAAGATGCCTCGCATTTCCTGCGGTTCTTACCGGAGCATCTGGAGTCTGAGGAAGCCGGCCGTCTTCGCCACCTTCAGCCGTCCAGCAAGCTAGCGCCAGCCGACGACAGTATGATTTTTCCTTGCATACTCTGCATGTAAAAGCATTTCTCGCTTGCGAGCACCAAAACGCCGTTTTCACGGCGACTCGGAGAAATCTCGAAAAGATTTCTGCACGTAAAAGAGCATTTCCCGCTTACGAGCACCAAAACGCTGTTTTCACGGCGACTCAGAGAAATCTCGAAAAGATTTCTGCACGTAAAAGAGCATTTCCCGCTTACGAGCACCAAAACGCCGTTTTCACGGCGACTCAGAGAAATCCCAAAAAGAGCATAATATCCTCGTGTGTAGAAAATGTGCCCATAATACTTTGTTCACCCATACACAAAAGCACCACATGTTCCATGTGTCTCCCAGGGCCCACCTCCAAAGAGCGGACACAGCCCGCTCGAGTGTCTGAGTGCATAAATGCGCCCACGAGCGTCCCCTCTCTGCCCGCTCTGTTACCTTCTGTTACACCGCGCATAAACTCCTCTCTGAGTATAAGTCCCGTTGCCACAAACGCTCTAAGCGCCCCCACACACTGTTCAGCCCGCTATGTACAGCAACCAGGGCGATTTAGCCATTCACCCGCTAGCCTTACGTTTCAAAGCGTGGGAAGCTATTACGGGAATCTCCCCGTGGTAGTTTTAATGTTTTGAAAGAAGTCTTTTCTCCTCACCATGGCTGTATTACATGATCAAAAATTCAGTGAATACTGTAATATTGTGAAATATAACCGTTTTTGTTTTAATATATTTGTAATTTATTTCTGTGATGGCAAAGCTGAATTTTCAGCATCATTACTTGATTACATCAATTTTGAAAACAGTCGTGCTGCTTAATATTTTTGTGGACACGATACATTTTGTTAATTATCTCATTAAAGCAGGATTTAGAATCACTTTTGAGAATAATTGGAGTTGCATGGTCAAAATATTATGATAAAGATAATTCTTTAATTGTCAAACAATAAAGAATCGTAATGTTCCTGCATTTTCATAATGGAGTTGTGTACATATAATTGTTTATTTCACCCCTAAATCAAAAGAAAAAAGACCCTGGCATGTTTTTGTGTGATTTATCCAGAGTTTTTTTTTTTTTTTTTATAAATTTGTATCCTCCTAGAGCTGACTTGACTCTTTCTGTCCACCTGTGTGCTTTGTCTCCCTTGTGGTTCATACAGTAATTTATTTCTCCTCTATGTATGTCTCGGTCTCTTTTAGGTTTTTAAGGTAAAAGCTGTCCAGCTGGCAGAAAAGCTGCTTCCTGCCTTCAACACCCCAACAGGCATCCCTTGGGCCATGGTCAATTTGAAGAGGTAAGTTCTATACACACCTTGCCTTGCACTCCTACATCCTTTCTCTTTTTTTTTTTCTTTGCTGCTGCCTAAATTTGTTTCTCACGCTGCCTCCACTTATTGTCGTGATGGTGACTGCCACATAATGGAAAGCTGTCAGACCTTTTATGTCTGTGAAAGTCCTTGTGGCTTTCTTCCTGTTTTACTTGAATTTCCGTATAATTTCATTAAAATGAAATGAAAATTGCTAAATTAAATCTACGGAGCGCATTGTGAATGTACATTAAGGTTTTTTTTTTTTTTTTCTCTCTGTGTGTTTGAGGAGGGAGGTCCTTCCTGACATGGTTTTTGTGAATTAATTGGCTGTTTAGAAGAAATTGCTCAAGACAGACAAAAACCACTGTATTTCGGGTGTTTTTAATCCTGAGGGAAAGAACGGCGCTGTGTTTTATTAATCCCCATTTATATAGAACACACACACAGTCTAAGTGAATGGTGTGGATACATTCTTAATGGAAATGAGTACAAGTAGAACATCGAATATTGGTCTTGACAGAGGAGTGATGGGTGGCAGTGAATTAGTTTGGAGCAGAAATGAAGCAGTTGACTCAAATGAGCTCACCGTAATTCTTCATTGTCTACATGCTGTAAAGATATAAAGGTGGATGTTTGCTTCAGGCTAGTAAGGAACATACTCTACGTTAATGTCATGGGTTTTGCCTTCTGTGTTTTTCAGTGGAGTGGGTCGTAACTGGGGCTGGGCGTCAGCTGGAAGCAGTATTCTAGCAGAGTTTGGGACGCTGCACATGGAGTTTGTGCACCTGACATATCTGACAGGAAACCCTGCCTACTATCAGAAGGTAGGATTGGCTTTGAGTGTTGTTGTAACTATTCAGGCCTTGTGTTCGTGTCCTGTTGTGAACTATGTTCTGGTTTAGGTGATGCACATACGGAAGCTGCTGGCTAAGATGGACAGACCCAATGGGCTTTACCCCAACTACCTGAATCCTCGTACAGGACGCTGGGGCCAGCGTGAGTACCTCCCACTAATGTCCTTTGTGCTGCACAAGAAACTCTCGTTCCACTCTAGAAAAGGCTTTGTATGAATTCCCACACTCTATGAAATGAAGGTGGTGTCAAAGCTGAATTTCCAGCGGCCATTTCTCCAGTCTTCAGTGTCAAGAAAAATTTCTTATTATTAATGTTGAAAACAGTTGTGCTGCCTAATATTTTTGTGAAAACTGATGCTTGATTTTTTTTTTTTTTTTCAAGATTCTCTGGTGAATAGAAAGTTAAAAAGAACAGTAAATATTTTAAATGTAATCCTCTTATAACATTATAAATGTCTTTACTTTCACTTTTGAATAATAGAATGCCCCCCATGCTGAATAAAAGTATTAATTTTGATGTGAATAACAAATCTAATATATAGTGAAGTGACATCGCTCTAATCTGAGACACAGTGGCTTTGACCCAGCAGGTTATCCTTATTACTGAATCCTGTTTCGGTACTCTTATTACTGCAATAATCGTCAGAAGAGATTCAAATCAAATGGAGGATCCACAATATCACCCTATGAAGTGTGTTTATAGACACAGATGATTTTCATAATCCCTCTGCGAGGGTTTATTATTCTATAAATATGAATGAAGACAGAATAGCAGCTTATCCTCATCTCCTCACTGATCAGTGAGCTTTAATAAAGATGGGATGTGAGGAAGTTTCTTTATTTATATATAATTAGTGATTATGTTTAGTGAAAACACTCCACTGTGTTTTAACCAACTCTTAATTACTGGGAGAGATGAGGGTTTAATTAGTGCCCTGCGTCTTAAGGCTAAACCTGATCAACCCACTGCGAGCAAATGCGTGTGTGCACACACACACACACACACACACTAAATTCCAGTAAAGAGTGTGTGTGTCTGTCCAAAGGGGTAGAATGTAATTAAGGTGCACTAGAGATCTGTTTTCTAAATGAAAACTCGGTGTGAGTGACAGGCCAATACAGAACTGAGTATTATTCCCCCTCCCACACTGCATCTGCCCTATGGGCTCTTAAAGGGATGGTTCACCCAAACATGTATATTATCTCATCATTTATTCTCCATCATTTTATTCCAAATTTATATGGCCTTGTTTCCTGTGTGTAACACAAAATGTTTCTGACTTTTTTCCAAGAAATAAAAAAAAAGTCGAATTTCCGACTCATTTTGTATTGTTCTAAACATCATCTGTAGTGTTCTACACAAGAAAGAAAGTCAAATAGGTGAGCAAATGATGACAGAACCTTAATATTTGTGTGAACCATCCATTTAACATTAAAACTCTCTCTCTGTCTGTTCAACAGCTCCAGGGGCCGGTTTCACAAAACTATTTTAGACCGTCTATACTCTATAGTGTTAGACAAGTATAAAATTTGCTTATAGACTAGTCTAATGCAAGTTAGACTGTTTCACAAAAATAAAGACTGAATTAATTTAGAACAAAACAATTAGACACCTCACCCCCAGGCTAACTTATAGGCGATGGGCCAGACCTTGAAATTACGAATTTAATACTTGCCTCACAGCTGTGTAAGTCATCTCATGCATCATGTCAAATAAACTAAGTGCTTCATAGTCTCAGAAACATACATTACAGCGAACTGCAATGGAGAAGTGTAGGGGAGCAGTTATTCATTAACATTGCAGACAGCACAGTACACTGTATTATAGTAGGGATGGGCATTTAAAGCAAAAGTAATATTCGGAGAACACTGGGTAGGCTATTATTCGAAAATCGCACCCCTCCACCACATGCACACATCAGAGCATGCAAGTAAAGCGGAGCAGTGTGATGCTTAAATATAAGTTAATTTAAGTCATTTATAAACGTTTAACCCTTTACTAGTCAGCCTCAATTTTGGCAAGTGATGCATACATGACATACCCAAAATAAAAAGGTTGCTGCTCAGAAGTCATTCTGAATAGGCACATAACCAACATATATTTAGATAGACAACCCTTGAGAGTTTACATTTCAAGACTCAAAAGACTGTTATTAATATTGAGGTATATTAAATGTATAATAAATAAACTAAATAAACTAATAAACTAAAGGTGTCAGTATGAGTGAGTGTAACACTGACCGGCGCAAGATTCTGAGAGTCAAATCTATTTTTATACTTTAATATGCAGCAATTGGCGTTGGAATTTTTTTTTTTTTATTATTTATGTTTTGGAAATTATTCATAAATAAAAATAAAATAAAGGGACATTGTGTAGGAATTTCTCCCATCTAGTCGTGAAAATGTATTTTGCATTCAAACGAATTTTGCTTTCCAGCGCCTCGCTTTTTTCAAATGCACGTTCCATCTACGGTAGCCGTACCAAAAAGCTATGACATGATGTGTTCTAGTAGCACTTCGTCGAGTGTTCCTTCGGGTGAACAGGTTTGTTATTTCAAACAAAAAGCAACTTGACACAACAAACAAACTAATGTTACAGTATGAAATACTGACTGTGAAAAACATGAACTATTATAGTAAGTAGTTATGCCTTCTTTATTTGTTATAATTTCTGAAGTATTTGCACTGTGAGATATCATCAACTTTTAACTATAAGGGCCCTATCTTGCACCCGGCGCAAATGACTACAGCGTCAGGGCGATGCACACCGGGAGTGTTGAATGTGGTGTCAGACTTCTTGCACACTGATGCATGTATCATTCATTCCTATTTTGCACCCGCGCAAAGCGGGCTTTTCCCTCCACAGACGCACGTCTGTAAACTAGGAAATGAACTTGCGCTCCCTGGGCGGGTCAGCGCAAAAAGGAGGTGTGTTTTGGCGCAAACATTCCCTAGTGCTATTTTGCAGTTCCAGAAAACAATTCTGCCACTGACCAGAAAAAAACTAGTCTAAAGTCAGTGGCACATTTCATGTTGTTCATAATGCTATTTTAAGCACGCATGCTTGGCCATAATGTTGCGGGTGCACAACGCACATACACTTTGATGCTCTTATCAACACAGATGCAGCAGTTTTTATTTTTTGAGATCATGCATTATAACAATGAAAAATATTAACACATGAGGGAAATTATTGTGGTGTCCATGAAGATGTAATACATTTTTTTTTTTCCTTCCACGTCTGTTTAACTGACGCTGATTTGGGTGGATTTCTCTCATTCCCATACAACGTCACTTCTCAGTCTTTCAATGCCCTTACAAGAACATTGCTCTCTTCGGCTGTGAACCACTCCTGGCGCGCACATCGTAAAATTGCCATAATAATAACAATCCACCATGCAACATGCACACCTGCTCTTAAAGGGTATGTTGGATAACACTCTGATTGGTTTATTTCATATTACGCCCAAACCACACTTATGAATAATGAAGCTATTTCAGACCAATCCCTTTTAAACTTATGTCGGGCGCAAGAGTCATTTATTCCGCCGGTAAAATAGCAACAGCGCCCAAGACCTGCACACAAAGTTACTTGATGCTTGCGTTTCAGATCGTTAAAATAGGACCGTAAATGTTTATCTGTCTATAAAATAAAGTACACAACCAAACAATGAAAAAAGTGTGTAATTAAGACCGTAAAAATTGACTTACCTGTCTGATTATCTACTATATCTAAGCTGTAGTCTAAGTCTATCTTTGTGAAACCAGCCCCAGGGGCCGTTAGTTTTTAGATACACGTCTCGTCTTCAGCAGATGCAGGCTTCAGCCGTCATTCTCTGTCCATGTCTTGCCCGCTCGCTGTTGGCGAGGCCTCTCTGTAGAGATTTCCTGCCTGGATCTTTGATTGTTACTCAAATCCACCCTGTTGTTTTTTTTTATTATTATTATTTATTTATTTATTTTTTTATCATTATTATTCAAAGCCTTTGACTGCATTTACTTTTCAGTGGAGGCCTTTATGGAGTTGTTTTTGATTGGCAGAAGTGAAAATCCAGGCATTCGATGAATGGCAGCAGTGCCAGAAGAGGCTGGGAAATAAAGACCCAGATGGTTTATGAGAGTCTGACTGGGATTTTTGGGAGTTTGAGTCTGAAACCTCTCTGCTTTAATCAGTCTTTTCACTGCCACAATTTATTTTTTTTCTGTCTCACTTCACATCAGCCTGCACCATTATTCATCATCGTAATCGCTGATAGTGTTTGTTCTTTTTTCATATTTATTATGATTTCTACCAAATTCTTTACTCATACACATTCGCCTCTGTCGTATCTCTTTCTCTCTAACTTTTTTTCTCTATTCCTTTTGCTGTCTCTGAGCAGCTTGTTTTCTTCTCTCTGTTGTTTTCAACCTGTCAAGATTATCAGTCAAATCATTCTATCTGAACTTTATTTTCTTATACTTAACATTTTTATATCATACTATTTTTGTAATTATTTAAACTTAATGCCTAAAAATCCCTGAAGTATCAATTTAATTGGCCATATCTGGGGACTGGTATAATCATAGACACATGGGCTCTTTTGAATTAGCACAGTAAGCAATGCCCTAGCAACCACAGAATACTTTGGCAACCACATGGCAACAGTTTTTGAACTACCTTCAGTATGTCGGCGGCTTTGCATTTTTTCAGTATTCCAACATGTCCCACCTTCTGTGACAGGACGGGCTGGTAAGTTACTTACAAGTGGTCTATGATTGGACAGCTCTCTCTCACTTTCTCTTCAGTTTTTTTGCCCATTCCTCTTCTTCCTTGTATTTTTTTTATTCTCTCCTGTTGAATAATTCATCTCAGCTTCTTCATCTTACCTCTTCCAGGCCAGTCCCTCGCATCCATTAGCATAAAATACATCTTTAACTTTGTCTCAGTGTCTCTGTAAAGGATCTCTCATAAAGTGCTTCACCCTCCTGCCTTGTTCTTGCCTCATTGATTTATTTAGCTCTCCCTCTGAACCAGCTATTGCAGGTGCAATTTTTAGCCATGTCACTTGCGTGTTCACACCTCTCTCGTGTAAAACCATCACCTCTGCATCTGTTCTCCACTCCAGTCTCCTCTAAAGACCTTTCATAATGGTTTTTGGCAGCTCATCTCCTGAACGCCACGCTACTGTAGGTCTCTCCCAGCAGGCTGAATGCAGAACAGCTCACTAGCCCTGGTAGCTATGAGCTGTGACAGTGCTAATGGGCTCCTTTCTCACTCTTCCACGACACTATATACAGCGAGTGTACAGTATACTCTGTGTCTCCTGCACATATCACATTTCCTGTTCTCATCATACTTCCTCTTCTCCTGCTGTTCTTTGGAGAATATGTGTGTCTTGTCTGTTCTCTGTATGGGTTAACATGCTTTTGTGTGAATCCTGGCACTAAGATACCCCTTTTCCACCAAAAAAGAACAGGTTTGGAACTGTTTTTTTTTATTATTTTTATTTTTTATAACTATATATATATATATATATATATATATATATGTGTGTGTAAATGCATGACATAAGGGTGACATGGTAAAAGAACGGTTCTCTGGTTCTAGTCCAGCAAAGGACTTTTTTTAACAGCGTGATGGTGTTGTGTAATACACGGCTGTTCTAACAACAGCAATAAGAACATCAGAGTTAGTTTTTATGTGATAAGTTACCGACTGTTAGAAAACGTGAAGGAAAGGAGACAGGGTTGAGACAGCGCAGGAGAGGCTAGCTAGGATAAATAGGCTAAACTTTCAGCCAACTCCCCACAGAAAAGTCTGTTCCCATCATTTTACCACAGGTTTCACACATAATCTGTGTGCAATGCGTATGTGGTGTGTATACGGCACAGAAGCAGGACGCAAGTGCTTTAATGCAGCGTTTGCAGTGCATAACTGATCCGCGGCTGTACCACAAACACCCCGGTACTCACTATTTTTATTTTAACACATACTCATTATTTCAACAACGTAAGCCAATTATTCCATGCATTACTTTTATATATTAAGTTGCTCAAGCAAGTAGTCAAATATGTAGCCATGTACTTATATTAAAATCACAAACATTTTAAATGAAAACTTAAAATTGACAAACCGACTCTTATGCCTTTACCTATTAATTGTCATTTAAGTGAAATTACTGAACTTGAATATATAAGCTTGATAAGAATGATCATTTTAGAAGAAAATTTCAAATGGCATTTAGAGGCTTTTGCATCTGAACTCTTCATATATATGGATATATAACAGGTATTTGGACAGACAGACAAATACTGTATTAGATGGATGGATGGATGGATGGATAGATAACTTTGACAAATATTATAATGGATGGATGGATGTGTGGTCCCCACCCTGTCATACCACACACTGTATGGACAGACACTGACAAATACTGTATTAGATATATACAGACACACACACACACACACACACACACACACACACATACATATATATATATATATATATATATATATATATATATATATAACAACATAGATAGACAGATTGATAAACTCAATCACTGTTTGCTGTCATGTTCACCATAGTTTATCAGAATAAATAACATAGTGCCTCTTTTTTAATATTCTGTTTTTGTCCATGTCTTTAATATACCTGTCTTAATTTCAACAGCTCCCTCTGACAAGTCAACACAGATTGTTTACATGTTCTGTTGTAGGTGCCCATTACAAGCCATTACCAGCATAAATGACTCCCAGCCTGTCAAACACGCACTCACTCTGCAGTCATTAGCTGTGTCAAAGTGGAACACACACTCAATGGCTGTGTTTATAAGTGATTAGGTGTGTGCTGGTGTGTGTCCAATAAACGCCAGCGAAAACATGCTCACTTCAGCGCATTTTTATTGTAATGATACTCTGTGTCAAGCCTGAATACACTTTTATAGCAGCATTCAGGTACATTAAAAGACTGAGCTTTGAACAGAGATTAACCAAAACTGATCAATTTGAATAACCACAATTGACTTTTCTTTCTTTTTTTCACAAAATTAAGAGTTTAGTTGTATCTAATTAAGCTAGTTTTGTTTTGTCAACTCCATTTACTCTAAGCTTAAAGGGTTATTTCACTCAAAAATGAAAATTCTGTCAGTAATTACTCACCCACTTGTCATTCAAAACCCGTAAGATTTCGTTCATCTTCGGAACACAAATCTGAAACCTTTCTGCCCTTCCATTGACATTCTATGCAACTACCACTTTTAATCCCCAGAAAGGTAGTTAAGGCATCATAAAAGTAATCCATGTGATTTAACCTCAATTTTATGAAGCGATGCACCCCAAAATGTTGTGATAGTGAATACAGTGAAAAGCTAAAGTCTCATCTTTCCTCGGTTTATCGTGGTTTCTCTCTCTTTCTCTGCAGATCACACATCTGTAGGTGGATTAGGTGATAGTTTCTATGAATACCTGTTGAAGGCCTGGCTAATGTCTGACAAAACCGACACAGAGGCACGCAAAACCTATGACGATGCCATCGAGGTGAGCGCTGCTGGTTGCCTTGACAACGTGTGGTCTTGTGTTGTGTGTGTGTGCGCTCTGTTCATTCTCTCTCTTTCTGCAGGCTATCGAGCGCCACCTCATCCGTAAGTCCAACGGCGGTCTTACTTTCATCGGGGAGTGGAAAAATGGCCACTTGGAGCGTAAGATGGGTCACCTGACTTGCTTTGCTGGGGGCATGTTTGCCCTCGGGGCTGATGGGTCGCCAGATGATAAAGCTGGGCACTATTTGCAGCTCGGAGCAGAGATTGCTCACACCTGCCATGAAAGCTACGATCGCACTGGTTAGTGAATAAAAGGGGGCAGTTTGAAGAGTATTAAAAAAAAAAAACACATTAGATCTTTGGACTTAATCTAATTTGTAGCATGGTGTGTTGCCATGGTAACACTACAGGTTATTTTGAGAGTGCACCATTTCTATTTCACTCAACTTGACTGAGAGACCGTGATGGATTGCCACAAGGTCTCAGACAGATAGTTTTTACATTTATAGCACGAGGGCTAAAGATTCAACTAATAGTGCTGAACTCGTAAACCTTTTATTGTTTGCAGTACTGAAGCTCGGTCCAGAGGCCTTTAAGTTCGACAGCGGGCTGGAGGCCGTGGCTGTGAGACAGAACGAGAAGTACTACATCCTGAGGCCTGAGGTCATCGAGACATACTGGTACATGTGGAGATTTACCCACGACCCCAAATACAGGCAGTGGGGCTGGGAAGCAGCGCAGGTCAGCACCTCCCTCTACCTTTCCTCATGCTTCCATCTCTATGACAGTAACACCGAATACTGATGCACAATACATCAGGACCATATCGGTAATTGACCAATATTAACACATTTGATAACACTATTTCAGATTAAGGCCATTTATGTATTTTGGTTGCCCGACTGGAAAACACAATAGCCCAGGGACGTCAGGCTAGCAATTTTGCGAGCCCTGTAAAGGAATAGTAAGTTACTAGATTATAGGAAACCCTTTAAGCATTTTTTGTGCTATACTATAATAAATTATACATTTCTATTTTACAGAAGTTGAATCTCAAAATAAAATAGTTATCCATATTTCATACACTGCATTTATAATGGGATGTCGGTATGCCTGTATTGAAAAAGCATTATGACAGTGATTCAACGTTGGCAAAAACCATTGTACATTGTTGTTTATCATCCAAAAAATGAAAATAATATTTGTCTTTTGTCAGTTAGAATTTTATTCTAAGAAGTGTAACCCAGTAAAAGGACAACTTTTTTAAAAAAAGAACTGTCTATGCATAATTATGCAGCACAAAGAAACTGTTCAAAAAAAGTTTGACTCCCTTCTCATCGGTCTGGTATCTCCAGCCATCAGAGTTCAGCCGGATCTCAGAGACAGAATAAGGTCAGACTTAGTGTCTTGCACAGAATGTTCCTCAGTATCTAAACCCATATCTCATCGCTTTGATATCCATCTGTAGTCCCAGTCGCATCTTTTGGCATCTTTTCGCTGCTCGTGTTAGTCCTTTACCTCTCCATCTGTATTTTTTTTAGATGTACTGTATCACTCCCTTTCTTTTGATGTCACTATTATGCCAGTGAGGCCTAGGCTGTGTTTAGGGAAGTGTGTTTGTGTTTTTAGAACAGTTTCAAAGTGCTCTTGAGAATGGAGCATCATTCTTGTCTCTGATTGGGTGTCATTGTTCTGCCGTTACAGTACTCTTTCTCTGCATTTGGGCTTATTTTGATGAGCCGCTGGGTGCTTGGACTCTCTCTCCTCCTCTCCCTCATTGTCACGATCCCCATTTCTGTCAAAGAGAGCAGAATAATGCTCACTTGTTCCCTATCACCAAAGTTCCTTTGTTGCTATTGCCTCCTTTTCTCTTCTAATTTCTTTTCTTGCAATCCTGGCACTTTTCTTTGGCTAGATAAATGGTGATGTTTTGATCTATTTGGTGTGCGTCTCTAGGTTCAGATTTTCCCCAGTTCTCACCATATCTTTGCAAAATGGCCAGTTAGAAGTTAAACAAATGGCTTTTGTTTAATGTCGTCGGCTTGACAATTTGGTTATTTGAACTGCTGTATTGTTTGCAGAGATGATGTTTTATGGTGGAAACAATGTCATTCTGTCAAGGAATGATTATAGGAATTAATGGATAGTTGTTTTCCTTTTATGGCCGATAACCAATTGCAGCATTTAAAATATCACAGAATTGCAAGGTAATGTTTGAAAAGTTATTTTTGCTAATGATATATTCAAAAGTGTTATTAAATTTTTTTTTCTAAAAAGATGTTGTAAGATTCCAAGGTAAATCAAATTGTAAAATGGAGGAAAGGGAGCTGAGCAGAATCTCTGTTGAATGGGTTAATGTGAGTCTGGATCAAGCCAGCTGCTGTTGTGTTGTAACGCTGTGAGTTGAGTCCTCCGTGTAGCAGCTGTTTCAGAAAATCTGCTCCAGGTATGTGAGCACATCATGCCGTGTTTTCCTGGCACATCAGTCCTGCTGGCAGAGGCTGAAGCAACGCTAATGGAGCATTATTGGTTCTTGGAGAAAAACAGCAGCTTCTTATATGTTCTATTTCTGGATTGTCATTACTGTGAGTACACAGTCATGCATTGATTTGATTAGCAGTCACAAAGTGGGGAATTTAAAAAAAAATTTAAAATTAAAATTTAAAATTAAATGGTTTCACTTGATAATGCACATACTGTTTAGACAATCTTTCTTAGCTAATGCACAGGAAAAACTGCACCTGGAACTGACCTAGTCTGAGTTACTTACCAATTGCCTGGTGACTTAATTAGAAACTGCAAGAAATTTGAGAACAATAGTCTGATGCTCACAGTTTTAAGAAATCAAAGACATACAGTCATGATGACTCAAGCGTTAACAACCTTTACCGTGAAATGTTAATCTAAGATGCTGACGTTTTCTTTTTGTCTCAAGAACATCATATGTGTAAATATTTCTCACATTAAGCCAACAAAATGAACATTAAGCTTCACTGTTTGTCACAAATGTGAAGAAAAAATAAATAAATTGTGATGGGGACACATGTAAAAATAATATACAAAACCGTTCAAATGTATGAGGTTGGTAGGGAAAGTCTCTTTTGTCCACCAATGCTGCATCTATTTTGTCAAAAATAAGCAATGGTTCTACCAAAAATGAAAATTCTGTCATTTACTCACTCAGTTGTTCCAAACCTGTATGAATTTCTTTCTTTTGCTGAACACAAAAGAAGATATTTTGAATTATATGGGTAACCAAACAGTTTCTGGTCCCCATTGACTTCCATGGTATTTTTTCTGGAAACCTTGATACGTTTTTGAAAAGAGAAATGATGAATAAAAAATGTACCTACCCCAAACATTTTATACTGTGTGTGTGTTTATTCTGCATATAACCACCTTCTTCTTTTGTGCAGGCTATAGATAAATACTGTCGAGTCAGCGGAGGTTTCTCTGGTGTTAAAGACGTCTACTCCTCCAACCCCACCTACGATGACGTCCAGCAAAGTTTCTTTCTGGCTGAAACTCTCAAGTAAAAGTCATTCCATTTGCTGATACACATAATGCGAGTACACTTTACTATTGTACATTTAACAATGTAATAATGATCATTTACTACTATAATGGTCAACATTACTATGATAGCACTGTGCCTGTTGGCTAAACAAAGTAGGATTTGCAGAGTCAATTGGAGTGGAAAGACAGCCAGTCATTACTGCAACCTGCTGGTGCCATTGAGACACTGCAGATTCTGACAAATGTCTTGAATGGGATACATCCGATCTGTGACCTAGTTTTGGAACAGTATCAGGTTAATTCTATGATCCCTGCATGTGTGTGTTTTTGTAGGTATCTATATCTGCTTTTCTCTGGCGATGAGCTGCTGCCTCTTGAGAACTGGGTGTTCAACACGGAGGCCCACCCTCTGCCCGTCCTGCACCTGGGCAACATCACCCTGCCTGGCAGCGAGACCCAGCGGTAGAGCGGACGCACCGGGGGGCGCTCTCCCCCTCACTCGCCCCTTTTCTATACGCCTCCCTCCTTGTGAAAGACAGCAGCTGCTAGTGCAAAGGAGAGGAGAGAACTGTACCCACCAACCACTGTCTCCTCCTGGACTGTGAATCATGGGACTTCAGTGACCGGAGGAGACCGAACTCTCTTTATCTGTGTCTCTCATATATTCTCTGAAGGACAGACTGTCGGATTGATCATGTGCGTCTCTCTCTTGTGGCCGCTGATCTGACACACTGTACTCACATTTGCGGACATAAAGACCTTCTGAAATGGATGTGCATTTCTCACCAAGGAAGGATTTTAACAAGTTCGTTCTTTTTTTTTCTTTTTTTTTTTCCCCCTCCAATTTGGCAGTGTTTCATGTCATCAGCTCAGCACTAAATCGCTTCAAAATGGTGGATAAATAGACCAGAGCCTTTCACTTTCTGAGTTGGGCTCCTGGAGACAGCAGATGTTGGATTTGACCACCTGTGAAATCTTTCTCCAGCTGAGGTTGAATTTAGGCCACAGGCACCCAGGGATGTTCTTTTCTCCGGGATTTCACTTCAAACAGTCTCCCCGATGTCTCTGTTAAGGTTAGCGAGTAAAAAACAGACATGTGCTGCTATCGAACAGCTGCTGCCTGTGAGACAGTCACCACCGTCATTCCAGAAACCTGCACTTTTCTGTCTCTCCATTCCTCTTTCTTTTCATCCTTTCTGAATGCTCAATTTCATTCATACTGCTTTCTGAAACATGGATCGGTTTTTGCCATATATTGAATCAGTAACACTTGAAGCAGCAGCAGCTGTAACTTGTGGAGAGACGTCGCAGTGCTTCAGATGCTTATTCTCACGGCCATCACCATTTGTTTTCAACTGTCGATGGTGATGGTCACTCTGTTAGACCAGACCAGATTTTTTTCAACTGCAGAGTTTTACCACTAATCGTAGCCAACGAGATAGAGATTTATAAATATATATAAATATGGGGGTTAGGGTTCAGAAAATACACTGTGTGTGCTCTGTACAAGAAACCCAGAGTAAATGAAACAAAAAAAAAAAAAAAACAGTGCAAAGATTTTGAATACAGTTGCATAATTACAAAGCCCATGATGTAGTATGTTTTAGGCTTGGGTATACTCCTAAACTGAGTTCAAAGACTTTTCTTGTCATTCCTGTTTCTGTTCTTTAAAGTCAAACGCATATCTCTGAATATTTCATGTGAGTTTTAACATGACTTGTTCCGTGAATGTTTCTGTCCTGGGCTGTAAACCCTGAGAACCGGTGGTGGCAGACAGAAACAGATTCCTGATATTAGATGATTCACTTCGAGTTTGATCAAACAGCTAATCATATTGAAGTTTTTTTATTATTATTATTATTATTATTATTATTATTTTGTTTTTTTGGTTTGTTTTATTTGACCTTTAATGAATATTTATTCATTCTGTTGAGAAGACGTGTTCAGCCTTATGCTCTTCGATGTTTGTTTGTTTGTTGTAATCTTCTATCGTGTGAAATGGCACATCCGCAGAATATTTCATGTACTTGATCGGAGAAGGAAAAGTTTATTATTTTCTCATGAAGAATCTGTTTGAGAATCAGTCTTTCAAAAAGACTTGAGCACCTCTGGGTGTCATCGAAGGGTATTTCTCTTTCTATCCTGTCGTTTCAGTTCTTCAGTTTCTAAACCACATCCTCTCCTCCCCTCTAGATGGCAGAAGTGGTGTCCCATTTTCTTTTTTCCCCAGTAACATGACTTTGACTAATAATGAGTGAAGCCCAGGCCAACAGTTTTCCCTGGTGCTGCTGGGTGGGTTTCGATAATGCTGTGTTCTGTATTTGTATTTTTACTGAACAAAAAAAAAACAAAAAACAATAACTGTAAATATGTTTAAAATACCACACAAATTCAATAAAGATGTTACAAAAAGTGAATGGAATAAAACAAAAGCTTCCATTGTCAAGTCTTTTCTTACTGACTCATACGTCACTTATAACCTGCATTCAAATGAAGACGTTTGATGATATCAAGATATATCAAGAAAATTGAAAATCAGAATTACCAGACCTAAAAATCACGAAACGTCTTTAAACGTCAAGAGAAAATCCATGGATGTTTCTATAGTAAATATAATTTTCATATTTATGCTCACATTGGAGGACTGATCCTCTAATGAAGCCATATTCAAACCGTAGGATGGATTTTGTCCAAAATTTGAGACATTTGTAAGATATAAACACTGCTGAACAAAAGTATGAGGTCAGTCATTTTTTCTAAAGGAATTAATACTTTATTATTAAATTGATAAAGTGACAGTAATGACACATTTACAAAAGATTTCTATTTCAAATAAATGTTTTTTTTTAATTATTCATTAAAAAAATCTGACTAATACATCACAGTTTTACAAAAAAAAAACATTAAGCAGCAAACTGTTTTTAACATTGATAAGTGTTTATTGAGCAGAAAATCAGCATATTAAGTTTCTGTAGGATCATGCGATACTGAAAACTGGAATGATTCTGAAAATACTGCTTTACAATCACAGGAATAAATTACCCTTTAAAAATGTTCAATTATAAATATTTCACGATGTCAGTTTTTATTGTACTTCTGAACAAATAAATGGAGCCTTGATGAGCAGAAGGGACTTCTTTCAAAAACCTTTTAGTGACCCAAAACTTTTGAACAGTAGTGTAAATGTTTGAATGGAAACTACAGTTTCTATGAAATATTATTTATTGCATTACAACTAACAATATTTATATTTTTACATGTAATAATCTAAACATCATGTATATTACAATACCTAAAGCTGTGGGAACCTTATGGATTTGTTAATTACTGTAAATTGTCTTTGTTCTTCTATTATTCTTCTAATACATCCTATAGATTGAAAGTATTTACAGTTTGTACATTTCCATTATTTCAGTAACAATGTTAGTGCTTTCTATTTGTTTTAAATCCTTCATGCTCCTTTGCTCTTGGCAGCACACATTGATATTATAGGTCGTGGTGAACTGGTCCTGGGACATTACCCCTGCTCTCAGTATACACGTCATCCCCATTGCAAACAGTATTTCACACATGTGTGTGTTGTTGTTGTTTTCTCTGTTTAGCAGAAGCAGCAGATTTGAGGCCATTTTTTTTTTCTGCCCACTGTCATTGGTCTGATTGCAGCGTGACAGGACAGGATGGATGGGTGGCAAAAGAAGGAAGCAAAGGTCATGAGCTGGGTGTCATTTGCCGTCTTTCAACAACCTGACATCCTGTTACCCCTCGGTATCATCTGCTCAACAGATGCTGAACAATGACTGATTTCTCTTTCCACATACGGTGGTGCCCAAAACTGAGACCACTGGTGGAAATTCTTATTTTTACATATATCCTACAATATTGAGTTTGCATGAATCATGATTTTGAAACACCTTAAAGGTGCAGCTTGGACACATCTTCAGTGAAGGACCTAGGGTCACAGGGTGTTTCGGGTCTTTGATCTTCAGACACCGTCACCTGGGGTAACCAGTAACCACCTTGAGGCTTTTTCTGCAGCCTCACTGATGTTTATGTTTATATATATTCTGAGGCATCTTGTGCTTCAGATTATATTTTTCAAGGTTGTTTATATAGATTATTGGAGTAAGTTTTACTTACTAAAGTAGTAAGTAAAAAAAATAGTAAGCAATTTCTTTGTAATTATTTGTGGACTTTAAATTAACTAAATATTGTTTCAAAGTAAATCTTACACCACAATTTGTGCAGTGTAATTTAGGGTCATCTTAGGCCACAAATTTAACTGCTGCTCAGTGAGTGATAAGCTTGGAGAAACTGGCATGTTGCAAGTGCGCAGTAACACAAAATCGCCAAGGTCACTGTGAACCAGGTAGGTCACTTGGCAACTTCTATTAATGATAGGAAACTGATTACCCGCCCAGAGGGGGGGGGGGGGGCGGGGGGTGGTGGAGATGTGCTGAGAGCTACAGTACCACTGGAGAAAAGAGAGATTTGACTTTCAGAAGAGCATAATAAGTTTGCAAACCCCTTGCTTAAAAAACATAGTTATTTTTTTTTTAAGGGGAATAATATTACCAATATCATTTGTCATTTTGTGCCGAGTTTGTTTCTGAATTATGGTATAGGCAAGATGATGTTTTTTATCATGCCTGATCTGACCTCATCAACACTGTTACTGTACACTGATGTGCCAAAACATGTCACAGTGAATATTGTTGATAATCTCCTAATAAGGCCACATACCAATTAAGGTCATGGTAGATTAAATGGTAGGCAAACAATCAGTTCTTGTAATCAACATGTTAGATGCAGGAGAAATAGGCAGAAATAACGATCTGAGAATTTTTTTCACAAGGGCCAAATTGTTATGACAAGATGACTGGGTCAGAATGTCTCTGAAATGAAAAGGTTTGTGGGTTGCTTTGTGTCAGAAGTGGTGAGAATTTACCAAGAGTGGTCGGAGGATTGAGAAACCACAAAAGGCGACAGGGTGTTGGGCGCCCAAGGCTCATCGATGCACGAGGGCAACGAACTGGTCTGGTAAAATTTGAATGATGGTTAAGGGGAGAATGCGTCAACACTACACACTGAACCACACTCTGGTGCGTAGCCACGGGCCAATCAGAGTGCCTTTGATGACTCCACCGGCGAATGTGCCGACAATGAGCACGCGAGTGTTGGAACTGGACCTCGGAGCAGAGGAAGAAGGTCACCTGGTCCGATGGGTCCTGTTTTCTTTTACATCACGTGGACTGCGTGATATAAAATCTGAAGTTTCTTTAAACCTTGTAAGAAAAGTTGCCTGACATTGATCAATACATATTTTGAATAGTTAAATATGTGTAGTATTAGATTCAATGTTGTCAAAAATAAAGTTTAATTTTGAAGAGTTACATCAAGCAAATGTCACCCATTCGGTGGAATGGCCCATATGTCTCTGTCG